TTGGATCAAGTATACGCTGTATCAGTTTCTTTGTGCCCGATGAAAACCATGATGGACATGAAAATTCAGCTTTGCATATCTGAAATTAAGAGTAGGCAATGCACTCATAAGTTAGTCATATGAGATTCCCATCATTTAAACAGAGGAAGCAAAACTTGGCTACATACTTTTCTGTACAGCGCTATAAGATTTGGTTCATCAAAAGGCAGGTAACCAGCCATAAGCACAAAGAGAATGACCCCACAAGACCAAATATCAGATGATGTACCATCATAACCTTTGTTATTGAGCACCTAATACAAAAATGCCAAATGTGAGAAATAGTTATAAACAATTAAGCACCACTGCAATTACCAATTTTCCTGCAAAGAAAAAGTGAGAAGTAGATACCTCAGGAGCAACATAATTTGGAGTTCCACAGGCAGTATGAAGCAGCCCATCTTCCTGCAAAAAATACAAATAAGATATGACATAAATGAAACATAACATTACACAGTATCAAAACTATGTATGACTTAAATCTGTAATCAACTTAACATGGAATTAAACATCATAAAACTTTTTCGCAATAGTTTTACTCACCCGCACTTGCTGTTCGAACGTACTCAGTCCAAAATCTGAAATTTTAAGGCGGCCACACGAATCTAGAAGAAGGTTTTCGGGCTTCAAATCTCGATGGTACACGCCTCTGCTATGGCAGTAATCGACAGCATTGATGAGCTGCTGGAAGTATCTTCTGGCATCATCCTCTTTCAGTCTCCCATTTTTGGCCTAGCAAACAAAAGGCTTATAATAAGGGAATGCTTTATAAAGAGACATAACACTTGTGTCCACTGACCACAAAAGTAAGAAAGCAAGAACAAACTATTCAAATAAGAAGAGTATTTTGCAACGAGGTTCAAACATCAATTGCTTACTATTTCGTCAAAGAGCTCACCCCCATCAATAAACTCGAGAACAATGTAGATCCTAGTTTTGCTTGCCATGACCTATATTGATAATAACCCAAATGAATATTTAAATAAAAGAAAGCTGCTTGAACAAAAATAAAATACAAGTGATTGGGATTGTTGCAGATGGTACCTCAAACATTTGTGTAACATTAGGGTGTTTGATCAGCTTCATTGTTGATATCTCTCTTTTTATCTGTCAAAATACAAATCACCAAACAACAATTAGTGATCTTCGACCAAAAAACAAAAAACGATTTGTGATCAATGTCTTGTCTTCATTCTCATGCTGAGCACATGGTTAATAATATATATATATATTAAAAAAATCAATTATTTAACAAATTTCATTATTCTTTTCTTTTATCACCTCACCTACCAAGTCAATAAAAACTCATAAATAAGTATATAAATAAATAAATAAAAACAAAACCAATCTTTCACTAACTCATGTTTGGCAATTGCAAACACAGATTTCTACTAAAAAAACTTGTAACCTCCCATCAAACCCACCATATTATTAACATGTCCAATTACCAAATACCAAACCAGAAAAATTCACATGCACCAACCACAATATTCCGCAACACAATGATCACCAGCTTCAACTAAACTGAATTCCCATCTCTTACCATGAAGCATTCGAGTGGGTCCCATTGCCACCCCATTCATAAACATAGATGCTTAGGGGAGAGAGAAAGAGAGAGAGAGAGAGAGAGAGAGAGGCATAGATACGTACGTGTTCGACCATCTTGTGCTTGAGGACTTGCTCACGGTCTACGATTTTGATGGCCACGCACTTTCCAGTCTCCATGTTCTTAGCAAACTTGACCTTGGCAAAGGTGCCCTCCCCCAGAGTTTTTCCTAGCTCGTACTTCCCAACCCTGGTCCTCATCCTCGGCGACTTCGCCGCCGCACTCATCTTCTCCATCCCCCGTCTGATCAAGATCACACGGTCCCGAGACGGAGTATCCAATAACTGGGTCCCGCGTAACGTATAATGAAGGGGCCTACTTAGTATAAGCCGGTGTTTGTTTCAGCGTCTGCTGGGTTGGGTTGGGTTGGGTTGGGTTGGGCTGGTTTGGGTGGCAAAGAGAGGGCGAGAGAGAGAGAGAGTAGCATATGATGAAGAGATGAAAATGGAATTGGGAGATTATGGTGTTTTCGTTATCGTTTTGAGAACGTGTAGGTCCCATGAGAGGGGATGATGATAATGATGATGATGATGCAAAGCTACCGCATCACTCCACCAATCAGCCACAAGTTTCTGATATTCTTAAGTTTCCATGGCTGCCCTCTCTGCATCATTTCATCAAAGATAATTGTCTATTTTTTGGCATTTTTCCAAAACACCCTTCTTTAGTGGGAAATTTTTTGTTACGCCCATTGTTAATTTGGACCCTATTTTACTAGTCGCAGAGTTATTCGCGCTTCATCCAAACACTCTCGCACAAACAAAAATGGAAAGCGTAATTGACGCGTTGAATTAAAGTTAAACCTATTTATGGTTTGTGTTACATTTCATCCACCATTAACTCATTGTGATTATTTAAAAGATAAAAAAATTGATGAGTGTGAGTTACAAATCAATGAGATGAATTTTATGTATAATATGGTAACCATCCTTTCATTGTGGTATTGGTGTTCAATTCATTAGTTTGTTTGTTTGGACGAGGGCAATAGTGTAATTGTGAGTAAGATCAGATTGCTGATTATGTAGGAGAGACAAAAGATATTGATAAGCAAGACTTGGAGGCCCCTCATGCAATAATTGAGAAACGTGTCATTCTCGCTCATCCGCTTAACACTATTTTGTTATTTTATACAAGTGTTTTTCAACATGCCAAGGTGGTATGTGGATTCAATGGTTTCGACTAGGGGACTACTTCGCTTTCTAGGAAGCTTCCTATCTTTTCATCGAATGCATGCCTCGTCTCCATGTAATATATATCTTATCATGTAGCCGTCCAAACTGTGTCCACAAGTTTTGAGTGGGACTATGAACCGGGAAATGTTTTTTCTCGTTAGGTTGGTTGATCAGGACAATATCTTGTCGTTCAAGTTACCGAACGATAAGTAAATTTTTGCAGACTGCACCACAGTAGCTGCAGCACGACATATTAACTTTGAGCGTCGCCATTGAAACATTCAGTTGGTGTCGACATATGCCAATTCTTAACCACTCTTCTTAACTATTTTTTATTTTTTATGTTTCCTATGAATTTCAATTACTAATCGTTGAGAGTTGAATATTTAAAGAATATTATATTAATAATCATTTGGTTCTGGGGCCTCTTGTGCCATCTCTATGCTATCCATGCATTGGTTGGGCTTTAACGAACACAAACCCAAGGTTTTTTTTTTGGGTCAAAACACAAACCCTTACTTCTCAGCCTTAAGAAACAAAACAAAGCTTATAGCTCAAGTTACAAGACCAAGCCCTAGTTAACATAAATCTCATTTGGGCTTGAAAAAAAACTGAAGTCTTGTTGGATCTGAAAATGTCCAAGTCATACACCAGACATAATGCTCATTACTTTTTCTAGCAAAGTGGAGATTGCCAGTTTGGCATTGCTTATTTGGGGTAATAAGTGATTTTTAAAAAATTTTGGGAAGCCCTACCCGTTTGGTAAACTATGAGAAAATCACTTATTGTTAAAAATTGCTGTGAGAAAAAGCTATAAGGGAAAGCAGCTAATGAGGTGCTTTCATTTTCTGATTATGCAGGAATCAGTTTTGAAGAGGCACTGAGTTTAATGATTATGCGGGAATTATTTTTTGATTATGCGAGAATTAGTACCAACAACACTTTTAACAAAAAGTTTACCAAACGCCAAACTGCTTTCTCTCACAGCTGATTTCTCTCACAGCAAATTTGACAGCGATTATTTTCACAGCACAGCAATGCCAAACTGACCCTAAATATCACTAAATCAAATAATTATCGACTTTATTTCACTTAAGTTAAGACTTATGATCTCGTTACGTACATTCTTAAGAGGCGAAATGAATATTTTTGGAAAGCAGCGTTGTTGTAATATTTTATACTGTATAGTTGTATTGTTCTTTACATTGTTGGCAACTTGGCATTGCAGAAAAAACTAACCCAAGTTATGGCTGACAGGTTGAGTTCTACTTTTGGGTTGCAACAACAAAACTTTCAATCATTTTTAAAGAAGGAAAATGGGTCAAAAGTGTAAAGTGCAAGATGCATAAGCAGGAAGGCAAGAGCTGACAGCCACTCAATAGGTCCTATCTTTAAGCCCTACCCAACTACAATGCATCCCAAGATAAAACTCTGCAAATTGAATTCCCAATTTGAAGGTGAAACCTTGCACAATCTATATCTATCATGTTGTTGACCTAAAAATTCCCATCAACATCCTGCACGGCAAGCTACCTGCTAGTATATGCCCTATTATATATTATATATAGTCCTTTATTAAGGGACACCCTTTAGGGTTCCATATGAATTTTTTTTCAATGATCCAAATCATTAATTTTTTATTTCTACATTCATAGATCATCATTGTAAAAAATTAGACAAATCAAAAACCGTTTCTCAAATAAGTGTGTCCTATAAAGGTATCCCTCAAATAAGTTATTTGAGAAATCCCTCAATAAAAGCTCACTATATATACTGCAAAATACTATCATAAATAAATGGATTATTAAAATCATTTCATAAAAAATGCTATATTATACCTTCTTTTTCCCCCTCAAAAAACCACTTGACTTTTTGTACTAACATGGAAATTGCACCTCAAATAAAATCTGAGGACGAAATTAACCTCAGTTCCACCAATAATATTGCCAGTTATGCCCAGCAAAAATAAAATAATATGTAAAAATAAAATTTCAATATTGCCCTCAGAAGTTTCTGGAACCAAACAAGCCAATTGTCAAAGGAACCAAAAACGATGACCTATACAAATATTATAAAATAATAGGGTTCATATCAAATCTACCCCAGATAGCTTCACAAATGCGTTGTGTTTGTTTCTCTTGATATATACGTAATCATTTTCTCATTTTTTTTTATATATTTATTCTCTTTAACAAATAACACCTTTGAGAGAAAGGCACGTCTGATGTTTAGCTCAATCCATCAGACTTGCTTGTTCTTATATTGTATGACTTGCAAAATCCAAAGCCCCTCACTGCCCCACCCCCCAACTCCACCAGAGTCATGGGGCTCTTGCCCTCTTAGCTCCCAACACTCTCACTCTTGTTCTCAGGGTCTTTGTCCCTCCTCTACCTCTATATCTTCACCACCCATCTCACTTATCAAATTCCACGCCTCCCAATCTGCTTCTTGTTCCTCTTCACCAATAACACCAAGGTATGTTCATTTTTTATATATGCTTTGTTGTTTTGTTCTTATGAAACTCCTATATGTACAAGAAATGTTCTCTTGTGAGACTCTGTTAACATAAGACCTTCTGTCAACGTAAGATGATACAAAGAAAATGTTCTCTTATAAGACCGTGTGATGGCAAGAGAGCATTACCATACTTATAGATTCAGTAATTTATAGATCTAATTTCTCTTATTTCTTCTTATGAACAATTAGAATTCAGGGACGGAACTAGAATTTAGCATTACCATACTTATAGATTCAGTAATTTATAGATCTAATTTCTCTTATTTCTTCTTATGAACAATTAGAATTCAGGGACAGAACTAGAATTTTACTTTTAATTGATTGAAGTTTGATGGGATCGAACAAGGAAGAGAAAGATGCAAGTTACTTTGAACATGAAAGAGTTGTGAACACTAGGAAAGCTTGCTTTTGGTCAATTTTGGTGAGCGTGGCAGGGGGGCTCATGTTAGGATGGTGGGAATATCAATATCATCCCACAAATAGGCAACTGTGGATGGTGCCCTTTGGTCTCATCCTTTTTGCTACCCCGGTCATTGTTTGGTTCTCTGTTATGGCCTCTGACATCTCTAATTTGAAGGATGATGATCATGTCAAAAGGGTGAGTCAACTCAGTAACTCGGTTTCTGCCAAGAAAGATGGGCAATGGAGCAACCATGTGAATGATGTATAGATTTTAATATATATATTGCCTACGATTGTTTCTATGTAAGAATTCCACCAATCTCATTCAATTACATACGTGGAGTTTTTATTTATTTATAAGAACTATGTGAACACCATGTGGACTCCAAGTAATTGATTAAGATTCATACATTATGTAAGGAGCATAGTTACATAGGCTTCTTAATTACGGGTGATAGATTGATTGTGGTTGATTTTGTTATAAAACTTTACACTACTAATATGCTTTCTGACAAAGTGGTATTTTAAACTATTCTAATTTACATGGCGAGATATTCAAACTTCGGTGCAAGGGTGCGGACACATTGTGTTAACCAACAGTGCAATTTAGAGAAATAAAAAACATGTTTTCCTGCGATTGCACTAGGGAATTTATCAAGCTGATTACACCGTTAGTTGATGCCTAATGGTTGTAAAGCTTGGTTTTTAATAGGATGTAGTGTATCTCGTTTTCCATTGCTAATCAATAATAGTTTAAGCTACAAAATTTAAAGATACGTTTTTTTTTATAATCGGTGAGGATAGAGGATTTGAACTTGGAATCCATATAATTTTAGAAAGAGAAGTACTAATAGACCAGGAGGCAGTTGGTAAAAACGTTTGTTTTCTTCCCAAGTTTAAAAGATTGTGATAGGGCTCAGATTCGCGTGATTATGATATTGTTATTGTTAAACAATATTAAAAAGGATAAAGCCGTTCGAATGTTGCCTTCCCCAGTATGCATGGTTCCAGATAACATCGATGGATGTCCTCATATATGAAGTCATTAGTTCCTTTTTTTGCCCAGAAAGTCTTCCGCCCTCATAATGAATGATTTAGTTCTCTTTTAACAAGTATTTTTATTTTACATGCCATGTTCTGTATCATTGCTTTCAAGAAATTTGGTCAAATATCAGTTTAACAGAATCTTCGGGTAAGAAAAATCTTCATGAAGATTTCTATTATAAGTACAAGAATATAAAATATAACTTCGAATACACGCAATCATCCACAAACCACACGTATGATGTAAACTTCGATGTTTTATGCCTGTACGAGTTGGAACCTAGGGCATTCAAGTGGCGAGATTCAAATACTGAAAGAACGTAAGAAAAGTGTAAAAGAAAATAAAAAAGAGTAAGAAAAGTACATAACAAATTGTGAAAAAATATTTTAGAACTAGCTTTATTTATAGGACACCCATGCCTTCATTTATGATCAGGCAGTATTTGATGATTTACAACCTCAAACCTAAGTCTTGGCCAACTGGCCAACCAAAATTATCACACCAAGTCTACATGGCGGGCACAGGCTCCTTAAAATGGAGTTGCCTACGGCAACAAGCAGTAAACCATGTTTGCTGAATTTAGCATCCCATACAATGTGAATGAGTCAATGGCAGTCAAGATTTCCGGGAACGAATATGTTGAGGGAGTATAGCTAACTTAGCTACCGCAAAAACAGTTTCTTCTGGATACCAAAGCAATTGCGGTACACTTCTACAGTTTGGATGAAGGAAAAGAAATGGACTAGAAAAAACATTCTGTATATAAATTGATGTGTGGCTAGCTGAGTTTTGTACCCAAGCAATCTGTTTCCTGTTGGGTTGATCCTTCTGAAGCCAATTTCAAGTGTGTAAAAAAGAAAAAACTCGAGCCTAATACAGATCCTCTTAAACTAAAGATTGCAAACACTGATTAAACTAAACACAGTACTGCACCTTTTCAAACCCAATATTTCCAATATATATGAGTCGTGAAAGTATTTGAATGGCTGGAAGGAGGTAAAAATTAATGGCCTCACCAAGCATCAACCCTCACTATCGGAAACTGTCGGAAATTCCAAGCCCCGAAGAGCAGGTATGTTGTTTAAATCCTCCTTTGAGACCAGTGGGAAGAACCATAGTGCCTTCTTTGTGCCGAAAACCTTCAGGAGGGGGGAAAAGAGCAAAAAGTTAGACTCCTCAACGGTGTGACAGAAGAAGGGCTTGCATAAAGTGTCAGTTTAATTGAACTTCACGAGACAATTTTATAGAGAGAGAGAGTACCACCTGCTCAAAATTCTTCTTCCTGCCCAAGTCATACTTCCATCTGATTCCTCTTCTCTTCTCATGAACCTGAAACATTTTTCAATTACCTATATAAAACTATACAATAAAAAATCTGCAGTAATGAATTAATGCCTTGAGCTTGGCTACCAATACCATGCAGAGCTTGTATCTGTACTCTATTAAGATAAGATAAACGTGCTACATAATAAACTTCTTAGTAGACTCAGGTTATTCTAATTTCCAGATCACTTCAGGTAACTTTAGCCAAATCTCATTTTGCAATTCATGTAAAAATCAATTCATAAATTGGAATAACAGCTCGAGCAGCAGGTAGCCAACTGACCAAAATGAATTATATCAGGTAATTCAGGTCTCAAATGGTTAGTGCAATGCAAATATTCATATTATCTCAAAACTGGTAGACAGAAAGTAGGAGTTGATTTTATTACCTCTATGGTAGTGGTGTTGCTTGACAGAAGGGACACATGCATAACCACGAAACAAAGAAGACTCAATGCAAAGGCTAAATTAAGCACTGCGACAAAGTACACAATATGTAAGAAACAAGTAAATAATGAAAGCAGAAGCAGAACCAATATGTGGACCTGAAAATGATCGTACAGGTGGAATATTACCAAAAGTCAAAAAAATAACTGCAAGATTGCCAGGGGATGTTGAATGATTCTTGGCTTCAGAGAAAAAATCGATAAAATTTGGTAGCAAAATGAAGGTATCCATTGTCGTCTCCAGAAATGTATACAGCTTTTATGCCAATAACAGAAAATGGAAAGAGTCAGCAGAAAACAACAGAAAGAATAAACTAGCCAATTGATCCAAATTTAAAGTTCCTTTGCACACCGAAAGGTATTCATTTTATAATAAATTATTATTACTCATCTCTCTCTACCCTATGACTTCCTCCCAACACAAACACACACATAAAAAAAGACTCAAACATCTCCAGTTCCCATCCCTTAGTTTCTATGGGCTTTCCCAGCCTTTGAACCAAAAATTCAGTGGGGGTAAGGAAAGCTACACAAAGTTCTTATCTTGTAACTGCAACTATAATGATAAGAAAAAATAAATATAGGATTACCAAGAAAAGAAGAAAAAACTTGTAGTTGCGTGCACCAACACAATTCACCACCCAAACACAATGGTGATCCATCTTAAGTACACATCTTTGACCTACAGAAAATAGCAGAAAACAAAATTACTTTCTTTAACTTAACTGACAATTTCACCGAATGTTAAATAAGGCTGCCAACAATGTTCTAAAGTTGTGAAGTGCGTCTGAAAATATTATGACTCTGTCACTTTCAGACAAGATATAGAGTTATAGACAACAACAAAAACACAAAAAGAATACATGCCATAACAATTTAAACTTGGAAACATCCTACAAATGACACATGATGGCCTTACTGATAAAAATTCTAATCTAATGTTAACAACACAGAAATGGAAAGAAAATTCATATATATGGTACCACCCTTGGAAGATTTTTCTAGGGAGATACGTTCTATTACAACTACACTCAAATCGATGTCATCTCCAAGATATATAAAAAGTAAGGGAAAAAAATTCTTACATACAAAGTGGAAGTAAAGAAGAAGAATATGATGAAACACACAGAGGGAATATGCAATAATACAGAAATACACGTCAAGATACAAGCATAATATAAATCGCAAGCAACAGTAGAAAGCAACTTGCTTACAAACAGAGCAATGATGGCATCGTGGTGGCTTGCCGTTTTGGCATCGACTACAATATCCTACTTGTGGTCTTCTTTCTCGTCCATCTGCAGAGTGTGTGGAAGTGAAAGCCTCAGGTTCTATACTTTCTGACAAAGTCAGAGAACTACCAGCCTCCAAAACTTCCTCCTCTGTTAGAGGTTTCCAATTGTTGGGAACAGAACCCGGGTCTTTAAAGACTACCATAAAGTAGCTCCACAATAACATTATAAGCTGCAAGACAAATGCAAATTGAAACCAATGGGAAAACTCAAGAGATAGTTTTCTTCTAAGTGAATCTTATTACTCAATGTCGTCACACAGATAAAACTATTTTCTGTATAAATTTTCTTATAAAAATCTTGAATAAGTCAGTTACAGAAAGAAACCCAAAAAGAATAGACATCAAACCCACAAATCAACATGCACCGTTTTAATCTTTGTTAAAGGCAATTATCCCAAGGGTGTACAATATAAGTATCAAATGCACCTCTCTACCTAAATACTTAAGTTTTTGAGAACACTGCTAAACCAACCAACAGATCTGAACCTAAATTTTGATTTGTGTCCCTACATCTCAGGTCTCATCTCAAATTCAACTTCTATTAGCTTGTCAAGCATTTGAAGCAACTTCATTCTTGTTCATCCATTAACTTTGGACTCACGTGTATAGCATGAGACTTGGTTCACTACTCTATTGCCCCATAGTTATGATGTTATTCATTCCTCTGCAAATTGCTCTAAATTGTGCTCATTGCAGCAGCTATCAGTATTAATCTACTTAATTGACCTAAATGCAAGCTAACCACTTCAAGTTTAACTTAACTTTTTAGACCCCAATGATATAGTAAAATTAACACAAACCCACCAAAGAAAAAAAAAAACCCAAATAAGAAGGAAAAGCAAACATTTTGCAAGAAAAAAAGAAGTGGGTTGATTATATTTTCCAATTTCCCAAATACCCACATATTAAAGAACAAAACTTGAAGCATCAATGGCTGCAATAGTTGAGAATTACCAGAAAGTGGAAGAGAATGATGATGAAGAAGGCTAGAAAAGAGTGGAGCCCGCCGCTGAGCAGCTCCGGGCCCCAAGTCACCACAACGACGGCGTAGTAGGAGAGGGAAATTATGGCGGCAACCAAGAGGATCATGAAGTAGCCGATGACTTTGAGGCCGGAGCATAACTTGAACAGGTTTATCTCCATTCTGGGATTGATTGGCAATGGCCGAACTATCCCGGTTGGAAATTGGGGAGGGAAGATTGGCCTTCTGGTTCTTCGTGGAGGGAAGAGGCGTTTCCAGATATCAGGAGCCAGGTTTAAGCTTTTCTTCTTCTTGTTGAGTGGGATTGATTCAAGTATTTGAAGTCTTGCTGGATTTGGAGATCCATGTGTTTTTGTTCATTGGTGTTTGAAAGTTTGAGACTTTTTTTTTA